ATTTAAATATTATAAAATAACACTATTTCTAAATTCAATTCGATCAATTAACATTTGATCATGTAATAATACAATTGTCAATAATTCTTCATAGAAAATTTATTTATCAAACAAATAAAAATAAATAATTAATTAGTTTTTATCAGTTACTAATATTGATTGATATTAATCAAAGAAAAATCGATAATTTTTAATTTTATTCAAAGTTTTTAATTTTTCATAAATATGTTAATTGTCCAACTTGGGCCTAAACTATAATGAAACTATTTTAAAACTTTCAATTACAATTATTAAAACCTTTTTTCATTTTGATCGCTTATATTTACATTTCTTAATATAATATAATTATATTATATTCTTATATAATATTTCTATTTTTATATATATTCTTATATATTCTTAATATAATATTTCTATTTTTTTATTTCCTTTATAATTATCGAAATTCTTATATAAAAAAAAATGTCTAAAACTTTCAGACATTTTTTTAAAATTTTGTTTAAATTTTAAATTGTTATAAATTTTATATTCTTTTTATATTCTTAAAAATTTCTTTTTAACTATATTTTTAAAAAGAATTTTTTTATGTTTCAAAAATCAGATTGTAGATGATTATAAATTTTTTTTAATTTTCTAATAATTAACTTACAATATGAGTTTTCTCAATTTTCTTGAAAAACAATTTTTTTTCTAATTTTTTTCTTTTTATCATGATGCAAAAAATAAATATTTTTATCATATAAGACAAGAAATTAATACATTAATAACAAATAGATTTTATAATAGAACTATGCTAAATAATTTTACTGTTTACAATTTAATAAAAATATATTTTTTTTATTTAATTTTAATAAAAAGTTTTTCTATCATAATCTTGGGAAAATTCAATATTTTATTTTTCATCTCATCATAAGAAAGAAATTATTAAAAGAAATAAATATTTTAAATCAAATATTTTGTTTTTATTTTTAATAATTATATAGATTAGCAATTTTTCTCAATTTTGACTATTTTATTAGTTTCTTTTAAATAATTTCATTTAAAAGAAATAGAATAAGAAATTAATTAAGAGAAATAATATATACTTTTTATCATTTATACAAAAAAAATATTATTATTAAATAAAATTTCGTCTATATACCTTTTATATTTCATGAATTATGATGAGCTTGAAATATTTTAACCTCAATCAATATCAAATTTAGGTATTTCAAAATTATCTGTTGTTAATATCTATTCATGCGCTTGATATAAATCTAAATAATAATATAATGATATAATTTTTCCGTTATATATTTTAAGTACAAGCCAATTGCGATGTATATAAATAGTTAATAAGTATACCAGTCGCATGTGACGTAACTTATTTAAGTTGTAAAAACAAACATATACATTACATACATATAGACGAAATTCTATGTGTAATAATAATTTTTTTTTGTAAATTTTTCGAAAACTAAACTGAGTGGTAATTATAAATATTAGAAAATGTTGTTCAAAATATCTATTTATATACAATTTAAAATCTATTCAAAAATCATCAAAATTAGTAACGAAATTTTTTTTTAGATATCAAAAAAAAAATTTTTTCATTTCATCATGTAAAGAAAGCAAAAAATTAGCAAATTATAAATAATATATAAGATAATAATATTTAGGATTTTTACATCAAAATAAATAAAAAATAGTACAAAAATGTCAGTTAAAGCACGATGCAAAATTATGCACATGAACGATTTTTTATTGCGCGATATCACTATACATTTTTTCTTGTTTTTTCAATTAAAAAAACGAAAAAAGATATATTATCATAATGATATCACAAGGATAAATGTTGCTCATGAGCACAAAGCTTAAAAATTATAAATAATTGAAGTTTGCGTTAGATAAAGTTATTTTATCTAAATTTAAATTATTTATTTACCGATTTTTTTATATATTAACTTTAGTATTTGAAGATTAAGAAATCAAATCGCTAAATATATTATATTATAATATAATATATTATATAATATAATATATTAACACCCTGTATATTTATAATAAATTTGATTTCATAATATAAAAATATTATTGTATTGTATCAAATGAATAAAATGAATAAAATATTATTTGTATTGATATTTAATTTTTGTTTCTATTTATTCTATTTATTTATCATTAATCATATATTTCAGAAAAGATTAATAACAAAATTATTATAAATTATATAATAACAATATTAAAATGTAAGTCGCTACTAGAATAAAATTTATTGTATCATTAGATTATGCTATATAATTTATCTGATATCAGATTGTTTCTCTGCGCAGACTCTATTCAATTTCTGCCTTTAATTTGTAATTACTTATATGAATAAAATTTGGTATATTTTTGTTATCTATTATTAAATATAATAGAATGTAACAGATCTTATTTCAAATTTAATTTTTTTGATGATAAACATTTGCAACAAAGTTTTGAAAAAACTGTTATTTTCAAGTTTGATTAAGATATAAATATTTTTAAAACAATATTTTGTTGAACGATTTATTATCTTAATTATACATAATTTTTTTATAATTTCTTTTATTATTTAAAAA